ATAATATAAAATGGGCCATTATTTTTTTAAATTTCAAATTTTAAGGGGAAACTTTTTTCCCTTTTGGGAAATTTAAGGGCCGGGGGGGGGTTTTTTTCCCCCCTTTTTTAATTTTTTTTTAAAAAAATTTTTCCCCCAAGGGTTTTTAAATTTTTTTTTTTTTCCTTCCAAAAAAAATTTTTTAAAGAAGGTTTTCCGGGGGGCCCCTTTTTTTGGGGAAAAAAAAAAAAGGGGTTTTTTTTAAAAAAGGGTTTTTGGGTTTTAAAAAGGAATTTTTTTTTTTTTTTAAAAATTTTCCCCTTTTTTTTTTAAAAAAGGGTTTTTTTTTTGGGAATTTTTAAAAAAAAAAAGGTTTTGCCTTTTTTTTTTTTTTTTTTTTTTAAAAAAAAAAAAAAAAAAAAAAATATTTTTTAAATTTTAAATTTTAAAAAATTTTTTTTTAAAAAAAAAAAAACCCCCTAAAAAACCTTTTTTTTTTGGTTTTTTTGGGGTTTTGTTTTTTTTTTTTTTTAAAAAAATTTTGGTTTCTTTCCCAAAAAATTTTTAATTTTTCCCGGAAAAAAATTTTTTTTTTTTCCCTTTCGTTTTTTTTTAAAAAAAAAAAAAAATTTTTGGGGGGTTTTTTTTTTCCCCTTTTTTTTTTTAAAATTCCCCTTTTTACTTTTTCCCTTTTTTTTCTTTTTTTCCCCCCCTTTTTTTTTTCCCCCTTTTTTTAATTTCCCCCCTTTTTCCCCGGAAAAAAAAAAATGGGGGTTTTTTCCTTTTGGGGTTTTTCCCGGGGTTTTTTTAAAAACCCAAAAAAAAAAACCCCAAAAAAAAAAAAAAAATTTTTTAAATTTTTTTTTAAAAATTAAAAAAATTTTTTTTAAAAAAAATTTTTTTTTTTTTTTTTTAATTTTTTTTTTTTTAAAAAATTTTTTTTTTAAAAAAAAAGGGGGGAAGGGGTTTTTAAAAAAAAAAGGGGGAAATTTTTAAAACCCCTTTTAAAAACCCAAAAATTTTTGGGGGGTTTTTTAAAAAAAAAAAAATTTTTTGTTTTAAAAAATTTTTTTTGGGGGTTAAAAGAAAAAAAAAAACTTTTAAAAAATTTTGGGGCCAAAAAAAAAAATTTTTTAAAAGAAAATTTTAAAAAATTTTTTTTTTTTTAAAAAAAAATTTTAAAAAAAAACAAAAAAAATTTTTTTAAAAAATTTTTTTTTATTTTTAAAAAAAATTTTTTTTCCCCCCAAAAAAAATTGAAAATCCCCCAAAATTTTTTTAAAAAAAAAAAAACCCCCCTTTCCCAAAAAAAAAAAAATTTTTTGGTTTTTCCCCCCCCCCTTTTTTTCCAAAATTTAAAAAAGGGTTTCCCCCCCCCGGGGGCCCCTTTTTAAAAAAAAAATTTTTTTTTAAATTTTTTTAAAAAAAAAATTTTTTTTTAAAAAAAAATTTTTTTTTTTTCCTTTTTGGGGTTTTTTTTTAAAAAAAAAAGGGGGGGCCCCCCCGGGAAATTTCCCCCCCGGGTTTTTTTAAAAAAGGGGCCAAAAAAAACCCAACTTTTTAAAAAAAAATTTATTTTCCCAGTTCTAGGGCCCAAAAAATTTTTTTAACCCCCCCTTTTGGTTTTTTTTTTTTTAAAAAAAAAAATTTAATTTTTTTTTTTTTTTTCCCCCTTTCCCCCAACCATTTTTTTTTTTTTTTCCCAAACCCCCCTTTTTTTTTTTGGGGAAAAGGGGAAAATTTTCCAAAAAAAATTTTTTTTAAAAAAAAAAATTTTTTTTTTAAAAAAAAATTTTTTTTTTTTCCCCCCTTTTTTTTTAAAAATTTTTTTTTGGGGGGAAAAAAAAAAAATTTTTTTTAAAAAAAAAGGGGGTTTTTTTTATTTTTTTGGGCCCCCCCGGGTTTTTTTTTAAAAAAAAAAAATTAAAAATTTTTTTTTTTAAACCAAAAAAATTTTTAAAAAAAATTTGGTTTTTTTTTTTTTGGGAAAAAAAGGAAAAAAAAATTAAAAAATTTTTTTCCCTTTTTTTTAAAAAAATTTTTTTAAATTTAAAAGAAAAAAAAAAATAAAAATTTTTTTTTTTTAAAAAAATTTTTTTTTTTTAAAAAAAAAAAATTTTTAAAAAAAAAAAAAGGGGAAAAAGAAATTTTTGGGGGGGAAAAAAAAAATTTTTTTTTTAAAAAATTTAAAAAAAAAAAATTTTTTAAATTTGGGGAAATCCCCTTAAGGTTTTTTTTTCCGTTTTTTTAAAAATTTTTTTTAAAAAAAGGGAGGCATAACGTCGCCATCACTTGTGATCATTCCAAACACCATAATCACCATTAGACTCATATCCAACTTTCCGAATCTGCACTGTCCTTGAATTGACTGCCAAACACACTGAAATGTTCGTATTGAACCTGGAAAAAGGAATGCTAAGCAGCAATAGTCATGCCGTTTACAATTTCTGGCGTCAGGGTGCTCTTTTTTCGGAGACGTGCGTAACTGACCCCTACTACATACTGTGCAGCTGGACAAATCAAAAGTAAACAACACATACGCACGAAACGACGAATATAAAATGGCGACAATTCAGCCAAAGCACACCAGATAAGAAATTAGCGTCACTTTAAACTGACGCTAGGAAGATATCGCTTAGGAAAAGATGTCGAGGGCTAAGGATCTAAGTTCTGAAGAGAGACGGAAATTTAAATAAAATAAATCGCTATCAAATAACGTATTTTCCCACAATGAACATCGTGCGTATAAAAATAATTGCATTTTTTTTAAAGCGTTTCACCCCAAGCAAAGGCGGGAAGCTTCTGGATAAAGGGTGTGTAAGAACTGTCAAATGTTTTATATTTCCGGAGGAAAAGATGCTATACCTTTAGCCATTATCAAGTATGATTCGATTTTTCATCTTAATTGAGTATTGCGTTCTGTGTATGTCTTAGTGTGTGGTAGGGATGTTTTAATTTCCGAATACGGTTAGCACATTGTGGCCTTGTTCTTACACACCCTTTGTCCAGAAAAGAAAGCTCTTTTTAGAACACAAGAAAAATGAAATAAAAAGCTTAACCGTAGTATCTTGTCTGTCGTTTTTAATGAAACATGCATATATATATATATATATATATATATAACAATGTAATCAATATTTGAGTATTTTTAAAAGAGATAACAAAGAAGTAACACATTTGTTAACAATCCCAGCATGGTAGGAAAGTGAATGAAAATTGTACACATCGCTTTCTGTGGGTGTCTCTGTCGGAATTTTTGAGATGATTAAATAAATATCATCTTATAATATTTCTACAGCGTAGACGAGTCGGGCCTGTCGCCAGAGTTTTGAATTGAAGGCAGCTGCGTGTAGCGAATAAGAATTTGCACACTTAAATTACATTTTCATAATGATTTTCTGAAGGGCACATCACACCAAACCAAACCTGGCAACTGGCCTGATATTAGTCAAGTTATTAACACAGACACACAAAATCAAAATCTGTTGGATTATTAAAAAAAAAAAAAAAAAGAAATGTCTATTCTAAAATTCTCTTTGTTTACGTTTGGATACAAAACTGCGTGCTGATATGAAAAACTTCGGGTGAGCTATGACGAGAGAAATTTAAGTTTAAGGCACAAATTTGGTCTTGCCTGACCAACTGCTTTTCGTAGCTCAGTTGGTGAGATCGTGTCGGGTCTAATAGTAGTTAGTTACCCTTGCCCTGGGAGACGCAGGATCGAATCCTGCCGGAGAGCGCAAGTTTTGCTTTAATAAGATTTCTCGAATATTCAAGACGGTAGATGAAAATAAATAAATATACTGTTTGATAAACCAACAGCACGTCTACGCAAATACGAGTATCCACTAAAAATAATGTTTAAAGTCATAAAAAACACTCACGCACACATAATGAAAAGAAACTCCTCATTTTTAAATACTTATAATTTATTTATAAACTCAAATTTTTACAATAAATGAATATAAGAGACAAGAGTTTATCATAAGGTTTTATTTAAAATTACATGGGGGCACGAGCCGCCCATGAATCGAGTCAACAGATTTCACCAGGAACTTTTTTGGTATGGAAGACCTAACTTCTTGTATTCGCCTTACAAGTTCTTCCAAAGTCTTAGTCTGTATAGTAGAATTGCTCCTTTAACCAACCCCAAAGAAAAAAGTCCCGAGGTCTTACGTCAGGTGTTCCTGACTGGCCACATAGGGAGTTACTTTTCAATCACCCTGTGCGTGTATATATATATATATATATATATATATATATATATATATATATATATACGACGCGTGTTTCATTAAATAATATAGAAAGTTTTGTCTGTTTATTTTAAGTAAGTTCTTTTCATATTGTCTGATAAACTTAATAACATTATCATTGAAAGACGAAAGAAATCACCATATTGATACATGTGTTTAAAATCCAGTTATAAGCTTTCGGCTTACATAAGCCATTATTAAAGATGACAATTACTTTTCAATATATCAACCAGTACACGCACGCAACAATCATGACAGTCTGTTTTTGTTGCATGAAAAACTTCAAAGCAACGACAAACTCGTGTATACACATGACCAGGCGAGAGTGAAAACGAGAAGTATTAAGTATCGGAAGCCGTTGGTATAAACCAATGGCTTCTGTTATCAATTATAGGCATTTAAGAATATTTGTGTAGATTTCGTAGTTTATTTTGTTCAGGTTAAGTTTCAACTGTTTTATGTACATAGCTTCAAGAATTTTTAGTTTTTATTTATTGTTTTCATGTTTAAGTATAGTTGTGTTTATATTCCGGAATTGTGTACGCGGCCAGGCATGTTGTTTTAAATGCCTAAAAATGTTAGATTTATCATTCAAATGTAGAGTCAAGCGTCGTGATAGCGAGTTTGTGGTGTGACCAAAATAAATATTATTTAATCCATTGGAGATACAATCTCTCAAAGGGCACTTGAATTTGTAAACTACACAATATATATATATATATATATATTCTCAGTTCGTTACACCAAGTGCACATGCAAACTTAAAGCACCTTTTATTCACGGACAGTTACCCATTTATGTACTAACTCGGCTCAATGTTGCTTAACTTTGTAGATCGGACGAGAACCGGTGTTAAC